AGTACATGCGATGCTTCTTGCAGAAAACATTGTTCTGCTGCTTTTGAGGTCTAGCTCCTTAACTAACCCTGCCTGTAAAATTGCATCCTTATTCCATTGGCCCAGTGGTGTTACATGTGGAATCTGTCTCTGAAATTCCTGTGGAACAGTGCAAATTCTGCCTCTTGAGAAGATGTGCAAAGCCCAGGTACTTTGTTGTGTTGCAGGGAATGTTGATTCTCTGCAGTTTTGTGTTACAGCATCTTTGCTTCTGTTGTGCTAAGTGAATTCTGTAGATTTAAGTGTTTTTCCTGATGGATGCAGAGCAGCAGAGGGATGAGTTGCTCGCTGCACCATTCTGAACAAGCCTTTGCATACAGCCTAGCCAACAGCAGGTATGCTTCATGGGCCAGGCAGCCACAGGTCAATTTAACTGAACATTTACTATTTCTTAAGTAATGGAAAAAATTGTAGGGTCCTATAAATGGATAACTTAGCATCACATTTTCCAATTATTCTTTCATATATTCAACCATATTGTTTAGTTTTCTAGCTTTTGTTGTACATGGAGGCAATAAATAGAAATCTAGATAAAACATTAATAAAAGGAAAATATGACAAAATTATGCAAATCTCTTGTGTTACAGAAGTGTGTAAATTATGCCTCAGAATTTTTGCCTTTAGCTCAGCAAAGCTGGACTTTGTCCAGGTCTGTCCAGCCACATGCCAGGAATTGCCCAGAGGAGTTATGGCTGTCCCATCCCTGGCAGTGTCCCAGGCCAGGCTGGCCAGGGCTTGGAGCAGCCTGGGACAGTGGAAGGTGTCCCTGCCCACGGCAGGGGGTGAAGCTGGATGAGCTTTAAGATCCAACCCCAAATGCTCTATGATTAACCACTCAAAGCATCAGAGCATTTTTCCCTTTCATCCTTTTCCATTCAAACCTTTCAGTGGCCAGGTGTGCTGACTGCAGCAGGCCAGCTGCGTTTGGTCACAGAAAATGGATTGTGCACATTTTGTTTGAAACAAAACAAGGTAAAATGCCACCTGACTCACTTGATCCAAGGTGATGTGGGTGACTTCCTTTCCTACCCTTTTATGTCAACTTATCAACTTCTAAAACTTTTTTTTTTTCTTAATCTGCTTGTTTCAATGTTATTTCTAAGTGTTCCTAAATTTTATTTCCTCTTGGATTTTCTAAGAATATTCCAAGAATGGAGGGGGAGTAGTTCCCTTGTGATGTGCAGATCCTCAGAAAGTAGATAGGCTATTCCCTGCCCCTGTAGTGTGACCAAGCAGTCCATGAAGCTGATTGTTTTAAGTGTTACTCAAATTGATCTTCCTACTTTGGATTAAGTTTTACTTAATGAGAAAGTAATGAGATTATCATAGACAAAAAGGACTATGTCTCTTTTGGGAACATACCATTTCTGAGACTTGACTTTATTTCAAAGAGAGCTGTAATTCTTTCTTTAGGGGAATGTAAATTTAAATTATAATCAAACAATGGGATTTTTCTAGCAATTGTTTTGACACCAAATGATAGAAGTATTATACTGTGCATTTTCTTCCTGGGGAAAGGATTGACTGCTGCAAGATTAACACGTTCTGGATGGGTGCCATTTTCAGATAGTTCGTTCAACTAGAAGAGAAAGGATCTGATTAAAGGATCAAGCTCATTATTTGTTTGTTGTTTGTACTCCACACCCTACAATGGGAGTGTTCTTTACCTCTTTTCCCTGACAATAATTAGGATCAGAGGGTTCAACAACTGCATATTAATATTCTTTTTCTTTAAGTGAAAACATGCAGGAGCTAAGCAATTAACATTTCCATTACACTTTAAAATCTTTTTAAAAGGCTTCCACAAAATATTTAAGACCGAGCCAGATATTCAAAAGAGAGCACTGAGAATAAGGGACTCTGAGTTTGCAGATTTTTTCTGAATTCTTATTTTTTAGGAACATCTGCTCTAAAGTATAATCCAAGTTCCTGTTGATGCTGTGTTCCAGGTTTTCAGTAAGTCTGGTCCAGCTCTGTGTTTTTAGTGGTGTACCCCCAGCAGCACCTCAGGTGAGCCATGGAGAGGGGACTGTAACACCTGCTGTCCCAGGACTCCTCACAAACCCCAGGAGCGCCTGCTGTACTGGCACTGCTGATGCTATTAAACTGTGTTTTGTGAAGACTTGATTCATAGTATTGATTTTTACATTTAATAATGTGAGTGATTTAAAACATGCACAACAAATTATGTTTCTAAGGGCATGTCTGGGTTGTTAAGCACTGTGCCTCCCTGCCAAAAGTCCATCTGCCCTTTGCTTGATGAGCAGCACTTTAGCTGGGAGGAAAAAAATGGCACTGCTGACCCAGATCTGCAAAGATTTATGTATGCAAACAACTTGTTGAATCAAGACAGTGGAATTAGGCTCTTTTAAAATCACTGGTTAAGCTCGCTGGGTGCACTCACTTGTGGAACTGGGGCCTGGACTGGACCTGATGCATCCCCAGGAGCAGTCTGTGGCAGGCACCAGGCTTTGCTTCATCCAGGAATGCTGACTGACACTGGGGAATTTAATTTCTATTTAAATGAAAGGAAGGAGGATCTTGCCTCAATATTGGCTATTCCCATATGTAAGGATAAACATAGGTCATATACCTCAGATACTAGCAAAGGGCATACGTTAAGAGTGCACTGAAGAGTTTGGTTGAATAGGAGATGAAATCTTTTAAGAGATCATATTTTTATTGCCTAAAAGAGTTCAGTGAATAGTGAAATACTAAATTGCCAAAGGAGCAGAAAAATAGAATTGATAAACCTTGTGCTTTTTTTAGCTGTGGCTGGCTGCAGGCAGAGCTGATTTGGTATTCTTGGGGGACAGATTTCTATGTACTGGGACCTCTGCTTGGTGGCTGGTTGATCTTTTACACTTTTTCTTTCCAAAGAGGCATCAGGACTCCCAGCCTAGAGTCTTCAGTGAAGTTTGAGCAAAGCTTTGAGGCAGGGAACTGGAATTTGGGCTTAGATGGACTTTTATGGTATTGGAGAGGTTTCTAGATATATCTGCATTGAAGCAGAAATAAATTTAAGTGGCAGTGCTTTTATCATTTTGATTAGTACATTTGCAAGTCACTGAAGATAGAATGCAGGTTTATATGAATCTTGTCCTTTTACAAAACCATCTTAGCATTCACTTTCAGTGTTTTACTGAGGTCATAATGTTGAATAACAGAAAATAATGTCTGTGAAAGGCTGAGATCAAATACAAATGTATGACATCGTTGTGGAAGAGAGAAATGGGTTGGCTAGAAGGAAAGGACTTGATTTGGTTCATCAAATACATAGCCCTAAATTTACAGAATATGGCCAGTAATTTTTTATTTTTATTTTTATTTTTGCATCAGTTCTGTTCTCAAGATGTATTATCTTGGTTTCTTTTGAAAGGAGATGAAGGTAAAGTCAATATGTGTGAAGTTCTGTTCAAATGCTGATATTAAATCAGAAAAATGTCATTAGAAAGAAGATATTAACAATTTGCCAAATGAACAAATAAATAACCCAGAGGGGTAGCTCTGCTGCTGCTAATCTTACTAGTATTCATAGTTATTTTTCAAAAAGGACAGCATGTCTTGTGGTAGAAGCTTGTCATTTAAAGCTGGCCAGATGGACCCAGATTAGGATGATGGCTCCCAAAACGTGTAATACAGGAGAATGACGCTGATGTGGCAGCTGTGCAGGGAACAGTAATAAAAGGTTTTAATAGAGAGAAGTGGCTGTGATGGATTCAATCTTCTTAGAGCTTTTGAGTACTCCCAATTTTCCATCAATGTTATTTTTGCCTTCATTATATGTTGTAGATGAGAGTCACCATAGTGCTCCCTTCCCAAGTTTATCAGTAGAAGCAGTGGTCAGAAACCAAAGGCAGCAGGCAGGAGGAAGACTGACTGTCTGTAGCAGAGGAGTGGATGCAGAACGTAAAACAGTTCCCAGGAGAGTACACTGTGAACTGTCTTCTGCTGCAGTCTCACCTTTTTATTTGACTGACATTAATAGCTCTCTGTCAGAGTAGTCCCCTTTACATTTCTACTGCTGCTCTTCCTTCCCACCTTCCTGTTGCATTGTGCCGTCTTTGGAATTTGTAGGGATGAGCTAGTTCATCTAGAACAGTGAGGAAATGACTCCACAAATAAATAAATTTTACTGCTCTACTATTTGCTATGTTGCTGCTTGCTGTGGGACCAGGCAAATGTCAAAGGTATGACTAGAGATGGAGTTTTGTGTGTATGAAGTATTGGCACAGTATGGCTGGCTTTGAGGGAGAGTGTTTGTGGGGAGCCTTCCCTTTCTGGTGTGAGTCAGCTGTTGATTCAGTTCAGCTGAAACACCTCAGGTGGATCTATTGCTTTCATTTCTATGCAAGACATGGGATGACACCAATGCATGCCTAATTGAAAGTAGGGGTTTGACACGTAAGATGTTTTTTTACTGCGTTGTGTAACTTACTGCATCTGAAACTTCCATTTGACCCATGATGATGTGGGTACTGGATAAATGCTGCTCACCAAGAGCTGAGCCACTGCTGCCTCAACAGCTGACCTGCTTTCACAGGTGTTACTACAGAAGGGGTTAAAGTGACCTAGTCTCCAAATATAAGAAAAGATCTTTTCAGGCTTAATTTCTATAAAGTAGGAATGCCTCAAAACCTGATCTTGCATTTGGATCAGGGACTCGTATTTTGAAAAGCACAAAGCAAATAGATGAGCTATGTCACAGCATTACAGATTCATCAAGGAAATAGTATTTGGTTTTCTTGGCTGCTAAATGGTATGAGGCACATGAAATTTCTCATAAAGTGAGAGATAAATTTGAGGAATTTCTGTCTAAATTACATTTTTAGTGAGATGTACCTCTTTTCAGAAAACAATAGATATTTTTGAAAGTGTTTTTAGATTGCATTCACAATGTTGTTATTCTCAAAACATATGTTTGTTTCTCAACAGGTATAAAAAATACATAAAAAATAAAAATGGGTGAACTGGAGCATGGAACATTGTTTTCAGATCATAGGATTAGTGGTGGAGGTATGTATGCTATCAGGTTTAATTGCTTTCTCGACTGTTTATGAAACATTCTGCAATTAATAGCCTCATATAGGAGCTGCTATAGCACTCTGGTTATGGTTTGGGTTGGAAGGGACCTCAGAGTGAGGTCACCCAGTGCCCCCCTGCCATGGCAGGGACAGCTCCCACTGTCCCAGGTGCTCCCAGCCCCAATGTCCAGCCTGGCCTTGGGCACTGCCAGGGATCCAGGGGCAGCCCCAGCTGCTCTGGGCACCTGTGCCAGGGCCTGCCCACCCTCACAGGGAACAATTCCTTCTTTCTTCTAGTTCCTGTCTGTATTTACCCTCCTTCCAGGTTGCAGCTGTTGCCCCTCATGCTGTCACAGGCAGGGTAAAGAGCCTTTCTGTTTCCCATATAAGCCCCCCATTACCTATTGAGAGGCCACGATAAAGTTTTCCTGGAGTCTCCTCTAGCCAAATATCCCTGCCTCTCTCAGCCTGTCTTCACAGCAGAAATGTTCCAGCCCTCTGACCCTCTCCATGGTGTCTGGCCAGGGTTCTGTGCCGGGTGCTGGAGCTGGGTGTTATTCTCTGCAGGTCCAGGGGCAGAGCAGAGGGGGCAGAGCACCTCCCCTGGCACCTGCTCAGGCTGGCTTTCTGAGCTCCAGGGGCAGCTTGCCCCTTCGTGCCCAGTTTTTTCCCCGCAGGGTTCCCAGGTTGCTGTCCCCAGTCTGTGCCTGTCCCAGGGCACTGCCCGGCAGGGGATTTGGAGAAGCCCTTCCCCAGCAAGGCATTGGCATCGGCTGGAGACGCTGCCGGGCCACGCGGCAGATGGAGAGCCTGGGGGAGGCTTGGGGGAGGCTTGTGAGATGGCTCTGCAGGATTTATCTTACCTTTTACCCCTCTCTAAAACCACGTCAGGCACAGCACCTCCAGCCACGGGGCTTAGTAGGGAATGCAGAAACATAATGGGCAATTTCTCTGCTAAAGCAGAGGTTGTAAGGAGATGTCCGTTCCTTATCCCTGTAAGCCTCCTGGCTTATGTAGAATGACTGAGTATCTGTGCACGAGGCCTTCACAGTGCTAGGGCAAAAGTTCAGGTAGTTCATTTACAATTGTAATTGTACCTCAATTTTATACCTTTTAGAAATAAACTGCTCCCGCTTCTTAACCCATAGGTTGTGATAAACATTGAGGCAGTTTTCCAATCAGTGCAAGATGGATGCATTTATTGAAACTTAGGTATTTCTGTATTAGAAGTTATTACAATACCTGTAAATGCAGTTTAAAATAAATTGACAACTAAATTCACATGTAAGCTATACTTTTCAAATTAACTTTTGTGAACAGACAACTGGTTACTGTTTTTTATATAATTGCTACTGGTTTATGTTGGTTGCAAATTGTTATTCACCAACTAACAGTATCGGTATGAAAACTTCTGGTGTTGAAAACGTTGGTTCTGATTTCTATGTGTAGAGCTTTCATTTTATGCCTTGCACTTAATTTATTTCTCAAGAATTTGAAATGACCTTATGTGTTTTATATGATAACTAGACAATTTGGTGGTTCCCACAAGAAATGCCCTTTGCAGCCAGAGGTACAAACCTGTTGACTACAAACATCTGTATGATATTGCTGCAGAGGCAAAAATGGCCTCTGCACAAATTCAGTTAAAGGTATGATTTTTGTTTTATTTGTAATGCTTCTGAAATTCAGTGACCATATTTCTTGTTCCTGCCCCAAGGAACCTGAGAACAAATTGGGATCACAAATTTCTGTAACAACATTCAGCGAGAGGGGGTCAAATACAAAAGTTTATCATGGCTATGCTGTGATTTGGATGTGCTAATGTCAATGTGTGGACGTTGTTCAGATCAGTGATGCAAAATATGTGTGGATTCTACTTCTTCAAAAGACAGGAAAGACTCATATTTTACTGCCTTGAGGAAATTCACCCAGACTTATTGTATAATCCCGGGGGCAATGAAAAATTTGTGGGATTAAATGGGAATGCTGATCCAGAAAAAAAGCCAAACAAAAAAAGCCCAGCTGGGGCAGGAGTGGGAACATGCTGGGGGATGTTTGTGGGTGTGTCAGGGGTGGGTGTGGTGGTGGGTGTGGCAGTGGGTGTGGTGTTTGGTGGGTGGGTGTGGCAGTGGGTGTTTTCTGGGTGTGGCGTTTGGTGGGTGTGTCTCTGTTTGCTCAGTGCCCTTGTGAGCACAGAGGGGTCCTGGTGGTGCTTGTGCAGCTTTGCACAGGAAAATTGCAGTTTGTTTCTGCCTGAGCAAAGTGGAATCCCAGCATCTTTAACTCAGAACATCGCTGCTTTGCTGAAGTAGATGTGGAGTGAGATTGCTATTTGTTTCTCCCTGTTATGAACTCGGACAAGACTTTCCCGTGTGTTTTTGTTGCCTTGCTGCCATTTTGCCGTAGGACAGAGTGTCTGCACGAAGGGGGAGCTGGGGATGGGGAAGGGTCAGTGCATGAGCTGAGGGAGCTGTTGGGGTGCAGACAGACGTTCTGCAGGGAGGGGATGGCAGCACAAAGACTGGAAAGGAGCTTTGTCCTCGCCATGCACCGAGAGGCCAGAGACACTCACCATGGCAGGAGGGTGAGAGAAAACCGCTTGTCTCGGGCACTCTGGCAGCCACAGGCTTCTGCTCCTTTTTCCTTCGTTGCTGGCTGGCCAGAGTCATCTGCTTCCACTTCAGCAGCCTTCCCCTGGCAGGCTTTCCTCTGGTTTAAGCAGGAACTCCATCTGTTTCAAAAGCAGGTATTCCTATTTTATCCAGAGTGTGAAACAATGTTTTTGTGAAGCCCTCAGACAGTTTGAGAGCCTCTCTAATTGGATAGATTTTGTAAAAATCCTCTTTTTTAGTAATACATTTTTGAAATTATTTTTCTTTACATACTTTTAGTCTTTCATCTTCCTACCTGTAAGAAAGTGTTTTTCGTTCTCCTGCTTATCTTTCCTCAATTTTATTTCCAGGGACATAGGGATGGGAAAGGAAAGAAGAAAATGGACTGATTTTTTTCTTTTTTTTCACTTCTCTTTAATTGTGATTTGTAATGCAACAAACTTATTTAATGAAAATTGGTTACATTTGAGCCTGTTGTTCTTTAGAAAAATAGTTTTTAAATAAGCTATTCAGTTTATCATTTAAAAGCTTCCATGTGAAGGCAATTGATAAAGCTGTTGAATAAGTTCAAAACGCAACCTTTAATTTTCCCTGCAGATTAAAAAAGCAGAGCAAGTTTCAAAAATTAGCAAAGAGCAAATGCTGCTGAAACAGCATCGTCAGGTGTGGTGGCAAGAGTATAAAAGACTGAGTGAGAGCAGGTAAGAGTTGAGGAATCTGAATGAGTGATTAGTAAAGAGACTTCAGCAGACAGAATTTTTGGGATGACATGCTTTTGATTCAAGGCACATTGAGAAAAAAATATGATGGTACCTGACCTGAAGGTATTTCTGTGTGGGGAACAAAAGTTTGTGACCCACATGGAGAGAGGTCTGTGATATGAAGAGCTCACCTGAGGGCAGGGAGAACAGGGGATATTGCTCTTGGAGCTGGATTTGGGGATGTTCAGTTGATTTGCAGCATCTGAAGACTGGGTCTTTGTAAGAGTATAAAAAGTTTTCAGATGCTTTTCAGTTCCTTTAGAGTCTGTCTCTAGACATATGTGTTGAGGTCACACAACACGAGACATTAACAGTGCTCTTCTCTATTATCCTGTGTACTCAACAAGAGCATTTGTGGCTTCTTTGCCATCTTTGTGTCCAAGTCCTTCTCTTCATACCTTCCCAGGGAAAGAATCCCATTTTTTATGTAACTATTGGAGTATTCGAGGCTCATCATTCATGCAAATGTAATGAATAAGAAATTAAAGCTTCTGCAAAACTCATTTCCTTCAGGCAAAAGGCAGAAGAAGAAATTAAGACTTTTCTTGATGAAGGAAGCCATAAGAACAGCTTTTTTTTTGATTTGAGGAATTTGGGTAAGAATTTTTTTATTAATTTTTAAATTTTTTTTATAGCCAACGTTATCTTGATTGTTTGGGTTTTTAAATCCATTCCTTGACAGGTTTAGATTTACAGAGCACAGTGCTGTGTGACCTTTTTTTGTGTGTTTGAGAAAGCTTTATGTTTCATACAGAGCAGAAATTGTCCATGGAGTGGGACACTTATCAAACAAACACTTTAGCTCCTGTCTGGCAGCTGAAACTCAAGCTGGCTAAAATGCAGCGTTACCTCTCAAAAAAATCTTGTCAGAAACCTGAGATCAATTCAGCTGAGGTGTTACAGCAGGTTGGTATTTGAACTTTATTTTTACAATTTATTATCACCATATTTTTAGGATTTTTTTTTTAACTTTGAGACTATAGCTCACATGCAGAGCGTGCCATAAACCCCCCTTCTTATCATGGTGTAAATCTGCTCACCAAAGTCTGTAAAAGCATAGCATTGTTGGGCTGAAAATCTGACTCTGATTCTAAATAAAAGTTTTCATATTACAACAAGAGGAAGAGGTAACAGTAACATGTTTCATGAAATAGATCAAATTTATGAAGAAGCAACAGAAGGCAATTCTGGAAGGTCTTATCCCTGAAAGTCTGGCTTTGGAAAGAGAGCTTGAAGAGTATAAAGAAAATGTAAGCTTTCCTTTATAAGTTCAAGTAGAAGTTTGTTGAGGGGGTAATTATGATGCAGAGTAGTGTCCTGAGCAGCATTTCTTCATTGCAGGCATCAGTGCGCTCTTCTGAAGAGAAAAACAGGCTTTTCCTGGAAGTTCCTCCCGAGCTGCTGGCTCTGGAATGCCCTTACCCTGACCTGAAGACCTTGGTGATGGAGGAGTACCAGGAGCTCTCCAGGGGCTACTGGGTGAAGCTTCAGGAGGTGGATCAGCAGCTGGAAGCTTTATCTAGGTACTGACACATCTCTGCACGTCTTGGCTGGGGGTGAATGTGTACCTGTGGTGTGATTTGTAGCTGTGGCTGCTGTGGTTGGCTTTGCCCCTCAGTCTGGCTCTGCTCCGGGCAGAGCCCTGTGCTTGGACGGTCAGTGTTCACACAGTGAAGCCAGTCCTTGTAAGAGCTATCAGCTGAAACAATAAGCAACATGTTCAGTGCATTAAGGAACCAACAACCTGGTGTGCATCAAATGTCCTTTTCATATGCTCTTGCAAGAGTGGAAATCACTCCTTCTGTATAGTAATTACATTAGCAAGATTATGACAGAAAAGTACAGTCATTCCAAGACACACCTCCAGTGCTTTTATCTATAAAGCAGATAAAAAGGTCCAATCTTTTCACAAATTTTGGATCATTGCAGTAAATGTCATTGTCACAAAGAAATGTAAAAGGTGTATATAGCTTTGACTCAGATAACCAAAAGGAGGTGAGATTTTTCTGTAAATGAAAAAGTTTATTGCAAGAGCAGTATTCATAATGATCTAGAAATGTAATAAACCTGTATATTAATAATATAAAGCTTAGTCTTTCTGCTGAGGCTGTCTAGAATCCAGAAGATACTGAGTTGCAGACATTGATTGGCCTTTGACTTTGCCATCTCCTGATATTCCTTCAAATGGTTTCAGGTTGTCAAAAGACTGGGAAGGAGTAGGCTGGTGGAATGGTTTGAGGCAGGAGAAAGTGGGGAGAACAGGAAGGTCCCTGAATTTCTGTGGTAAAACAATCACATGTTGCTTCCAAATCTGTTTTCTGTATACACACAGAGTGTAGTGTTTGTTCTGTCCCTACTGCTGAAGGAGTTTGGTGTGCTGGAACAGCTAAAGATCCTGGGTGCCATAGAAAGGGATGTTATGATCTGATTGTACAAATATTCTGTGTGTTCTTCTTGTGTTACCTGAACCTGTACATTATTAGTGGAGCATCCTAGCTGTTGGAACATGCTACTTATTGAAAATTGTTTTGGTTTATCCCATATTTATAGCATTTATGAAGCCACAAATGGCAAATTTAAGCAGGCCTTTTGCTGCTCTCTCTGATATTTTGCTTTAGTTCCTCTAACAGAAGAAGTTTTAACAACCTCAATGAGAAAACCTGTGACAAATGCTAAATCACTAAATATGTACAAAGTTTTTCTAGTGATTTTAATCAAAATTGTGTCAAAGTTTATGATCAACACAAATTTGGTTGAAAATTCATAAATTAAAATTTTTGACTCACAGCACATGTGCTACTGAATAATAGACAGATGTGGATATAGACAACATAATTTCTGAAAATGGTTGAAAAATGTGCCATAGTATTTTCACTGATCATAGGCCAGGTGGGAGTTTAGGTCTGGAGCTAGCTAATTTTGCACTGATAATTAAATGATATCAGGACTTAAAGATAAAACACCATATTTGCAATGGAAAGAATTCAGCTGTAGCCTGAACACATGTGCAGTGGCACTTTGAGGGAAGGAGGTTGTGATCTGTAGCTGGGGGACATGCTGGTGGTGGGGCAGTGTGCCAGTACTGACAACTGGAAATGGGGGGATCATAAATGAACCATCAACAATCATCTCAGCATTTGATTTAAAACTAGATCATTCTGTTTGCATTCTGGTCTCCAAGTCTTTCATGTATTTCTCATTTATGTTCCAATGATTTTATCCACAATGGCATTAAAAATGAGTTTTCAATTTAAAAAAAAAAAAAAAGACCTTGTTCTTATAGCATTGCTTGCTTCCAAGGTACAGGTTTGTAAAAGACTCCACTCACTTCTTCCATTTATATTGGCTAATTTGCATGGAGATATTCTATGAGTTTGCAAAGATGCAGCCTTGTGATTGAAGTATTCTATAATTCATCATGCCAACTGTGATCCCACTGGCACAGATAATGCTGTCAGAAATGGAGTGACAGCTCCTTGACCTTGGTGAGTGTCCCCTGTGCTCTGATTCATACAGCCTTAACGAAGCCTTTGCAGTTACTGTCTTTGCTCTGTACCCTGACAGACCAAACATCCTCCTGCAATACATTTTTTTCTTATTTTGGGGTTTTGAGGAGTTGCTCAGGAGCACGTGGTTCTATGATAACACAATAACTTGGTCACTTCAGCTGGGTCACTCGGCCACTTCACTTCCTCTGTCACCACATCTTGAATGTACAGTAAAGAAACCTTCAGTTAATATTACTCTGGCATTGCACATCCCATGTTTTCAATAGTTTAGACAGTCTGGAACATTTGCAATTGGTACACAGAGAATCTGGAAAATGTACATAGAATGTTCAGTAAAGAAACTTTAGAAAAAGATAATGTTCTGGTCTGGTCTATTCTGTGTGATTTTCTTTCACACTAGAATACACATTGCAGCAGTCATGGCTTTTAGAAATGGAAGAAAAGCTTGGGTTTTTATTCAAGCCTTATGCAGGATTATAATATTTTGTAATCTAATTTCTTTTGATGTTGCTAAAACAGAAATTTTTGTGTTTGAGAAATACCCAGGTCCTGAGCTATCCCACAAATTGTGGGTTTGGACTGACGTGTGTAAGAATGATTCTCTAGGCACTATTATATTTTTTCCACAGTTTCCAAGGATGTCTGAATTATTTAAATCACGGAAGGATGAATGGGGTAGCAGAGACTGTGCACTGCATCCTCTGCAGCATCCTTCCAAAGGGATGGGAGAGCAGGACAGGGCCCAGGAAACAGCTCCTCTTGCCAGGCCCCAGCAGGGCGGTTTCTGTGCAACAAGGGGCAATGCCAGCATTAACAGCAGGGGGCTGATGGCTCACCCGGTGTCACGGTGTGTCACTGTGTCACGGTGTGTCACCCAGGTGTGTGTGTCACCCAGGTGTGTGTGTCACTGTGTCACGGTGTGTCACTGTGTCACTGTGTCACGGTGTGTCACGGTGTGTCACGGTGTGTCAATGTGTCACGGTGTGTCACTGTGTCACTGTGTGCGTGTGTAACTGTGTGTTACGGTGTCACGGTGTGTCACTGTGTGTTACTGTGTCACCCAGGTGTGTGTGTCACGGTGTGTCACTGTGTCACGGTGTGTCACTGTGTCACGGTGTGTGTGTCACTGTGTGTTACTGTGTCACGGTGTGTCACGGTGTGTCACTGTGTCACGGTGTGTCACTGTGTGTTACTGTGTCACTGTGTGTCACGGTGTGTTAGTGTGCGTCTGTCACCCAGGTGCATGTGTCACTGTGTGTGTCACTGTGTGTTACTGTGTCACTGTGTGCGTGTGTCACCCAGGTGCGTGTGTCACTGTGTGTGTCACTGTGTATCACTATGTCACTCTGTGTGTGTGTCACTGTGTATCACTGTGCGTGTCCCTGTGTGCGTGTCCCTGTGTGCGTGTCCCTGTGTGCGTGTCCCTGTGTGTGTGTCCCTGTGTGCGTGTCCCTGTGTGCGTGTCCCTGTGTGCGTGTCACTCTGTGTGTCCCTGTGTGCGTGTCACCCAGGTGTGTCCCTGTGTGTCACTCTGTGTGTGTCCCTGTGTGTCCCTGTGTGTCCCTGTGTGTCCCTGTGTGTCCCTGTGTGTCCCTGTGTGCGTGTCACCCAGGTGTGTCCCTGCAGATGGACACAGCAGCGCTGCCGCTCCCCGGTGCCGTTGCCCAGCACGGGGTCTGCGGGGAGAGGGAATTTCCCCCGGAGCTGTTTGGGATGTGCGGGGAGAGGGAGCTTCCCCTCGGAGCTGTTTGTATTCCTCGGAGTGTGCAAAGCCAGGGATTAGCGCTGGTAAATCTGTTTCAAAGGAAGCAGCTGCCTCGGGGCTGCTGCATTGAAGACAATTGCTGTGTTTCAGCTCTGAAACAAAATAAAGATTGTGCTGTGCTCTGCTCCAACGCTGCATATAAGGAAAGCAAGCACTACATTTAAAATTTGGGTCAGGCATTCAGGCTGGCAAATGTTTGTCAATATCTTGGCGGTGCAGAAACTTGATAATACCTTAAATATTCATGTCAAATGTGTTGGCACTTTTCAGACTTGTTTTAGATGAGATATTCCTTTCTGGAATTTTACAGAAGTGAGGTGACATCTCAGATTCACTCACCAGGGTATGTTGAAATTCTCCATGTGTTTGGTGGCTATGAATATGCTGGGCTGGGTCATGCTGGCTTTTTGGGTTTTTTTTCACTATTTGTCTATGAGCAGCTGACAAAATCTCAGCACAGCTGACAAATTTTGGCACAGCTGACAAACCAAGGCATTGGCAGTCAGTTTGTCCCTGCATACAATAAACTACTTGTAGCTCTCTCCAGCTGATTGCTCCCTGAAGGATCTCCCACAGAAACTTCTCCTTGTTTTGAGCAGGGCAGAGATCCACGGTTAGCTGGCCATTAGAGGAATATAAATGAGAGGGAGCTTGTCAGAGGTGTGGGATGGAGGGGCAGGACCTGGTGCAGCTGCTGGAGGCAGAGCAGGTGCCGGACCGGCCGCAGGGCTGCAGCATCTCTGCTGTTCCCTGCTCTCGAGTTCATCCTGTAAGGCTCCAGGACCAAGGTGTCTCCTACTGTGCCTCACTCCCCTCCTCTGTTTGTTCACCAGCCTGCATGGGCAGAAATACCTGAGGTAAAACGTAACAAAACCGAATCTCACTGAAGTGACGGGTTCGGGTGTCACCATACTGAGGCGTGTCAGGACTCACAGAGGAGGATTATTGATTTCTTTAATGGTAGATCATGGAGTCTAGTTTAATATTAATTACATGTGAGTTTCTCACTAAAATTCCCGTTTTGAAGTACCTGTTCTTTCTGCCTGCATAAGGATAAGGCTGTTCCAATACCTCACTGGATGCAGTGCTGTGGAATACTGAGGCAGTGCTGCTGGCTTGGGGAGTCCAGGAACTGCAGCTGCTGGAGGCAGCAGGAATTTGGGGGGTGGGTAGTCTCATGATTGCCTTCTTTTAATTATCCCTGGGCTCTTAGTCACTTCTGAAACCAGGTCACTGGGCCAGAGAGACCTTTTGCTCTGACTCAGTGTTGCTGCTTGGATGTTAATGCTGACAGTGACAGCCTGACATTAATCCCTTCAGGGCCAAGGGTTCAGACTGAGGGTAAAACTGCATCCCAGCCTGTGGGATTCTTTCAGAGGGATGTTACTTCTTGCTGCTCTCATTTTCTGAGGCTGATGTGTGCAAGCTGATTCCTACAGCTCCTACACTAAAGCATGGTGGATCTTATGCCCTTCTGATGACTTTATGGCTGTTAGGAGTTTGCTAAACTGGATCCTCATTTAGCTGCATGCAAGGATTGTCACTTCATCCACTCCCTTTTGATCATTTATTCAGTGCTCAGTGGTAGAATCTGATCATCTTGTTCTTTTTTACACCGTATTTTCCCTGTGAGGTCACTGATTTTCCATTAATGTGGCGTGTTTGAGAAACACAGTGACATTCCCCAATAAAAAGCCAGATTAGAAGCAGAACAATTCACTCAAATGATGACACAGTAAGTGTCATATCAGCAAAGCAATGCATGTTTGCTTTATTTCATTAATCTGATTCTGTCACCTCTGACCCAATATCCAGTTTACACCATCAGGACTGTGAGCCCACTCAAGGCTGGGCTGTCCAGAACCAAACTCCTTTTCAGTGTTAAATTATACTGGGATGGATTGTTTTGCATTCCTATAGGAGCAGTGACTGGAAGGAAGATGATCAGTGGGTTTTCCAGACTGTTATCAATCAGTACCCAAGTGATCTTCAGAGGAGGAGGACTTTGTACCTGGATGTGCTGCAGAGGTATCTTCCCCACAAATCCAGGCAGGAGCTGGTCAGTGCTGGTTTACATATTCATTCAATTTTACAAATTCTTAAACTATGTAGTGAACAGTTATATCAAAGAATGTATGTTTATTGAAGTCTTTAAATTCTAAAATTTCTTAATTATAAATTTTATTCTGCACACTAAAGAAGAAACATTCTTGTTTTCAAACTGCAGGAGTTTTAAAAACTATCATCTCTTCAAAATAAGTCCTGGAACTATTTTATAGTTCCACATAGTCTTACAGCCAAACTCACAAAACTAATTTGTTGGCATTGCTTCTGCTGTACAGTTTTACAGCTGTGTTATGCCACTCTGCTTCTCTTGGTGTTTTTATTTTTCCTGAGGATGTACAGCCTTGTTGCACTGTCTAGGAATAGTTAATTTAATTGTTCTGTGGCACATATACAGCATGAAGAGTGGAAAGTTATCTCCCACTCTAGGAGAGAGGCTATTTTTATATACATAATGCTTTCAAATTGATTGCTGATTCCTCTCGCACTCCACAGTGAATAAGCACATAGCAGCTAATTGAGAAACCCATTTCAAGGCCAGAACACTTCAGGATGTCATAAAGAAAGTAGGAGGCTTTTTTTATCTCCGTCTGTATTTTTAGACCATCTACTTCCCCGTGTTTGAGGAGTGTCTAGTGCAAAGGAATGACAGTGAAGTGATACTGATAATTAACCAGAGTTTCACTAAAAATAAAGTTCTTGTGGTTTTCAGAGATTTTGCCCTGGACTGAATAGTCTCGGGCTTTGGACAATGCAGGTATGTTTTAAGCACAGCCACTATTAATGGGTCTCCCTACTTCTTTGAAGGTTCATTTAAAATTTAAAAGCGCTAAATTTTAAAATCCTAATTCTACATTGGGCTGATATCTCTTGGTATGTGTATTAGCATGACGACTATGGAAATGCTAAAACACTGCTAAGAGTCTGCTCTTAAAACGTGTGTGTCACACTGGAACAGCAGCCTCGGGCCTTCCTGGCCTCCTTCCCTCGTGCTCAGGGGACAGGCACTAGCCCTGGTCCCAGGCAGCTCCTTGGAGAGCTCTGTGTTTGGAGAGCACTCAGCAGTGCCCTGCCTGCAGGAGCTGCTGGGGCAGAGGCCTTGGTTTGGCCGTGGGGAAGCTCGAGGTGCAGCTTCAGCCAGCCACGAGCTGATAGGAATATCTGTGAGCCAGGCACCAGGGGAGTCAGCAGCCCCTGCTCCCCTGCCAGAACCTGGAATTAGCATCTGGAATGGTCCCCTTGACACCTGTGGGCAGTCAGCCATCTCTAGAAGCTCATTCATCCCTACATATTTTGGGGGTATAAGATAGGTTCAAGATTCTATTGTCTCATTCTGTACCTACCATACTATATCAGCTTTACCTGATATTGCTTCCATCAGAGTCTTGAACCTTGAATATCCTCATAAACCTCACTGAATTAGGCCAAAGCAAGTGGATTTTGGGTTAAACACTCCCCGTTTTTGCTAGGTGGTGATGCTGGTGGTGGCACTGTGCTGCCTGGTAAAATGAGATTTTATTTTCAAATTTCCTGCTAGGAAAGAAGTGAAGCTGATTCCCCCTGTACTGCTTTTGTACAATTGCTGTTATTGGTGCCCCATTTCTCTGCAGATCAGAATTTGCTAGGAAAAGCCTCATCTTGCTGGAAGTGCTCGATATCTCTGGAGATGTATTGAAGGACCTACTTATACGTTGTGTCCTTCAGGGCAGGGAGGGAGCGCTGTATTTCATTTATTCCCATTGCAAAAGCGCAGCAGCACAAAGAGCAGTGGGCCAGGAGGATGCTGTGGTGCTGGCAGAGAGGGCCCTGCTGGAGGGTGTCACTGGCCTGGCCAGTGGGACATGGTGACATCCCTGGCACTGGGCTGTGCTGCGCGTTCCGTGGGGACGTCGGTGATACAAGAACTGAATCAATTACAGGCCAGGCTTGCAAAAATGTCTAGAATTTTAGTTTCATTAAGGAACAGATTTAAGCCTCTCTGAAATGCCTTCCTCTTTCAGGTTGCTCATGAGAAGGCTTGGGATCATTACCAGTCCATCAGGAACCGGCGCAGAGTCTTGCTGTTAACCTGGGCTCAGGTTAGGAAAGCCTTTGTCCTTAGGGCGGTGGCGGCTGCTGCTGAAGCTGCTGCTGCTCATGAGGCAGAAGTGGTGCTGGCTGATTGCAGGCAAAAGCAGCTGGAGATCTGTGCTGATCTGAAAGCAAAGGTATGTTCAGTAATAAATCCATCACCAAATCTGTATCTAACAGATGCATTCAAAATGAAGATTTTTACATAAACACTAATCTGTTCTGAGATAAATAATGGACATCTGTCTGCCCTTCTGTTTAATTTTAAGTATGCTTTTTAAGACATGAAACAATGGATCCCATAACTTGTTTGCCCTTGTTATAGAAGGCTTTCAATATTCTGATTTACTGTGGTAAGAGGTGAAAAAAGATAAAAATACCTGTGTGGTTTTGGTAAGTGAATAGCATAAAGTGGGAGGAGGCTGGACACAAGAGGAAGATGTTGTGATGTTCGTGCCTAAGGTGTTTGTAGGAGGAACCTCATTTCTGGGCATGAGAGGCATGTTAAGATTTGTTTGAACTGCTCTCTGTGATTTTTGACTTGCACAGAAATGAACATCTGAGAGCATGCACGATGTGTTATTCTCACTTTACCAATATTCTCTCTGCTGTGCCCTCACTCTTCAGAGAAATACTAAACACTTGATTTAGGTTTTCTATGAGAAGGAAAGCACGGTAAAACCTGTTCTGTGAGGCAGGACGTTGATGTCAATGCTAGTTTTTAGTTAGCAATAACACAAAAGCCCTTCTGTCTTGTGTTCTGGAGCTGTCTGGCGTAGGAAGGTTTGAATCTAAACACTTTAGGGTTAGACATTGTCTGGGCATGACTAAGTGGGGAGTACCCTGCTCTGGCTCCTGTGCCAGCCTTCCCTTGAGCCAGGGGCAGGAAGGAGTGGTTCTCTGGAGCTGAGGGGATGTTTGGTGATTTTTTTACCTAGGCCTTCCTTTCTGGAGTGCCTGCAGGTCTCTTACCTGTGCAAGCCGAGATGGAAGGGCCAATTATTCCAGAACTGTGAATCTGAGTGATTTTTTTTTCCCTTTGTTTCTTTTATTTTTCTTCCGCACAAGAAGTAACAAGCTGGTTTTGGAGTACTTTGTTGTCTCCATGTAGGTTAAGATTCTCACAGATGCACTGAACATTGTCTGAAAGTCTTTTGGATTCTGACCTCTTGTTTCCAGGAACTGTTTGAAACTTAAACCTATTAGGCCTACACTTTTCAAGGGTGGCCTTCAAAGGGATCTTTGTTAAAACGTTGAACATTCGAGCAAAACCAACTCACCTGTTTCCCAGAAAAGAGGAATTAAAAGGAACATTTCTCTCATTAAAGGAGGATATCATTGTGACCTTGTTTTCATCAGCTCCACAACTGAAAGGGCTGCATGGCGGAAGCCGAGGTTGGGTACAGAGCTCATTCATTTTCAGAGAAATGATTCTCAATGTATCCATGGGTTCTGTTTTGGTTTGATGGGGATATGCATTTGAAAACTCACAGTTTGCCCAGTTATAGCTCATTTTACAGACTTGTCTTTCTACACTTCTGAACTTTACAACTACAGAGTGTTGGACATGGAAAGCAGCTGCTGGCAGGTAAAAGGGAACGCAGTCCAGTACCATTAACACAGGTGAAACCCACCCTGAGAGGGATCCATAAGATGGGTAAAAAGTGAGTCTGTCTCTGAGGGAAAGAGTGTGGAACTGGAAATCAGGGATTAGGGCTGTTCTTCCACCTTTTCTTTTTGGCCATTGACTGACTCACCATTTTGCATTTCAGTAAGTTTCACAGCAGGAAATCTTATCTCCCCTTCCAGAGGGGCAGTGTAGCTCCTACATTGATTTACCTGTAAGTAAACCCTGGGTGTACTGGTGAGGAGGTTGTGTCTGACTGAGAGGGACAGAGATCTCCTTCATTACAGCAGCAGGTTTCCCAGAGAGCCACAGCATTTATATCAGCCCCATCTGAGAAAGGAAGTGATGGCACAGACATGGAAGGAGATGTAATATCTGACAGGTTGTGCACTGGTTTAGTTATGGCAAAAACCACACAATATCACTCATCTTTTATACAGTTCTTTTCCTCTGTCAAAGGGGCAGCAGGCTGACTAAAGAATACATGATTTAAAGCTGTTTTAAGTCCACTAAAAGCACCTATGTCCTTGGTGAGACTCTAGGCCTTGTGACTGACAGGGAGGGATAATTAAAAAGTAAAGCAACAGGGAAGTTAAATTAATATTTATAGCAGTTTTTACTTGGGGAAAGGACTTTCAAATTTTTATTCCGTGTTCCATCTCACAAAAGATCAATGTGTGTCCTTAACAGAAATCAGAGTCCCTAAGGAGGGACTTTGGAACAACTCGAGAAGCTCAGGTGAAATAAATCAGGAGGGCCATATGGTAGCCATCTGAAGGAAATAAAATGTGAAATGGATAAGGCTGGGGAGGATACACTGTACATTCTTAAAGAGTAAATGTGCCTGGTACATACCTTTAACATCCCTGTTTGCCATGGGAAAGCAAACAAGACAAACCCTGAGGGGTTACACTTTGATGAGTGATCAAGAGCCACTCAGATCTGGTGTTCTTTGTGCTGTGGCAATCTGATCCCCCCAGGGTTCTGGAGCAGACACTGTGTAAAACAAATTCTCTCTCTGTAAAATTTCTTTCCCTAAACAACACAGAGAAGCAAATTTTTCCACATTGCAAGGTAGGTAAGGCATGAAGCGAGGAGTGATCTTTTCAGAGGATTAGGAGGTGCTGCCTCACAGCTGGGGTTTGAAGTACTTCCTGTATTACAACACAAATTCACTTGAGGTGTCTGCATGCATTCCAAACATTATTTTTCTATTGAATCTATCTTAAAATATTTGTAATCTTGTACTTTCCATCTTCATATAAAATGTTTTTAAAAGAAGACTAGGGGGAAGACCTACAGCAATAGACATTAGGGCACTTGGATCTCCTGTGTGTGCTGCTTACAGGGGGTGTTTTCTTCCTCTGCACAAAGCTGTGTGGCTGCCTGCCTTTAAATCTCTTCTCTCCCTCCTTTTGTGCTCCAGGATTAATCCCCACTCCAGTGCTAAAATCTCTTGCACATTGTGAATTTTGTGAGAGCAGCTCTTGCATTTCTTATCCTGGCAGAACCTAAGATAAATTAATTTCAAGAAGAAAAGCATTAGGTGGAATTAACAGGGGTATTGCAAATTGTATAAAGCATCTTGCAGACTGCTTTCATTCTCCTTTCCTGTATTGTAAGAAAGGATGTGACAGCAAACTTAGGGAAAAAAAAAAATCCCTATTCAGCATGTAGTCAAGTCACTGGTTTGAATGTTGTGACTATCAGAGGAGATCAGCATTGAAGTATTACAACTGAATGTTAAAATGAATTCCACAGAGGTATCATATCCAGTGCTTTGACTATAATCCGATAATTTTGAAGGAAACTTTTTAAAAGAATAAATATTTGAGTAGTAAGCTGCTTAAAAATGATTTTCTTTTTCAGAAGCATTGTCTATTCACCACCGAGTTGACCCATTTGTTTGTTGGACATAAAAAATACAAGGAAGTTATAATAACCTAAATTTTAAATATAGCTATTCATTTTTGTGGTGAACTGGAGAGCTGTCAGATGCTACAGTATTTCTCCAAAATGGATGTGAGCAAGTATCTAACGTTCATCAAAGATGAGCCAGCTCTGACTCAGTAATAAGTTTTCAATCCAGACCTAATAAACCAAACCTGGATTTACCAGTCTGAGGTCAGCACAGAACTGATGTATTGTGTTTTTTGAGTCAGACAAAGCTCATGCACAGTCCACGGGAAGCACCTGCTGAGGTCTCTGCACATTTGCCTTGCTTGCCCTTCCACCAGTCTTTCCCCCCATTTTCCTGTGTTCCATCACATGGTGTTGTTATTTCTGACCTGTCTTCCTCCTGTTGGAATCTTCTGGCAGTGTATTTGTGAGGTGTGCCTGCAGCTGCTCTGGGCAGGAGCAGGGGTGTCCCTGCACTCCAGGGGCACCGTCACAGCTTTGTGCTGGATCCACTGGGCTCAAACTGCAGGCTTTGGGGAACAGGGGCTGCAGGGTACTGTGCCTGGTTTGTGAGCTCTGAGATCCATGGAAACAGCCCAGCTGCTCAGAGGAGCACTCGGCCTGGGATGTAACCCAGCTTACCTGTCTGCTGGGCTTGCCAAAGCTCCTAACATCTGGAGTTTGTTTGAGACAAGAACTTCTCTCTCAAATCTAGTTGAAATTGTCCAGTGCTACCTCAAGTTGCTCAAGGACGGATAACTAGCCAAGCAGACAGCTCCTGCTAACAGTGTTTTCTGAGAATGATCTTCAGTGAGGAAAGTGGCACCTCAGGAAAGCAAAGCTGCACCAAAATTTTGCAGTTGTAAAGGATCCCAGGAGTTCTCCTCCATATGATGGCAGATGGGTCTAGAAGAGAGAATTCTGAATCGAAAGGAAGCAGTTTAGATAAGTAGTTGTAAATAGAAATGCAGCCTACTTAAGGTTATGCATGTGTGAATATTTAAGCCTATATCATATTTACACATACTAATAAAATGTTGACATTCCTGCTGTCAAGAACAGAAAGATGTTCTCAATAATGCTGGATGAGGAAAGAGAGGAACTACAAGGACAAGCTGTGAGAAATAAACTGTTCACACATTGCCTTGAGCAAAGATGATGTGACATGCTGTCAGCCCCAGGGAACAGGCACTGCTCCTGTTCTGGATCCCAAGTTTTATCAGTGCTGATCCCAGCCCTTGGGACCAGTTTCCTCACTGAAATTGGTACGTGGTGTTCCTCCTCAGGTCATGACTGAGGGTTGTGCTCAAGTGCTTTTCTTTCATATACCTTTTTCAGATTTAAACCCTTACATAACTGAAGACAATATTCTGTTAATGATCAAAACAGTTACTTTTAACCACTTTTCTGGTATTTATGTTTTTTTAACCTCTTAGAGGTAGCCTGTGGAGCACAAAGCTACTCAAGAGTACCAGTCAAAAATCTATCAGGGATGTGAACTTCACAGTTTTTCAAACCACAGCAGAATGAAATTATCTTCTGAAATTAGCAAACTTGTATTATTTCTTAATTATCTTACTGCTAAATGTTCTAAGGCTGCTCTAATTCTTC